AGTCGGCACAGGATAAAATGCTCTGATCTAAACAAAATTTTAACGGTTTAGTAGGCGCTAGCAGAGAGTATATATCGGTTTAGTAGGCGCTAGCGTTGACAACAGATACGTTTCATCGTCAATCGATTTTTTCGGTGTCACGGACTCGCACAGATGAGTTCTAGCTACACCATATGTTAGAGGTATTTTTTTTTCTATATTTAGCTACAAATTTATCTACTTTTTCCCAGGCATGCCCAATCAATTAGTTTTTCTGTAGAAAATTCGTACACGATTACATAACTTTCTCTTCTTACGATTCCTGTAAACGATTACATGACTTCTTCTCACGAAATACCTTCGTAAGGACGAGAAAGTAAAAGAAATATATCAAATAAAATTTCATAAAGTGTAATAGAATTATTACACTTTTTGAAATTTATCCCCTTGCTTACCGCACTACATGGGACGAAAGTCGGGAAACTACGCAGAGGGGTTTGAAGCGGCCTTTAAATAGGTTTCTCGGGCTGAATGTAAGGGGGTCTGTGTGGCGTCTTCATGGAAATGTCTCGGAAGGCGGGGGAATTTGAGGAGAGGGGTGTGAATAATTATTAGCAAAGGTGGCACAGGGAAATTGGTTAGTTCGTTGAGGAGAGATTAAGATGTCCGCTTGTGTTGAAAAACGCGAAAAAAAATTCCAGAATGTGTGTTTAAATATGTTTCTGGGGCTGTGGGTGAGTGGTCGCAGGTGATCTATTAATCTTCTTGGAAATGTCTCAGGAAGCAGGGGTGTGCAATTATTAGCAGAGGCGTTACAGGGAAATTGGTTTGCTCATTGAAAGCGGCTTCTGTTTGGTTTGGATTGAAAAAAGTGAAACATTTCTTAAGTGCCCTTGCTCCAAGACTTATGCTCTACTTCAAGAATGTTTATGTCTGAGTCAGGGTCAAAAGTAAGACCTGTGTTTATAAGACGGTAGCAGAGTGGTCAGTTTGCAATGTGTCATCGTACTTGCACTATCGCAACGTGAGACGGGAAAGGGGCGTAAGGTGCATGTAGCCTGGCCACAATAAGACGCATCTTCAGCTTAAGACGGTTTATTATCTGACAGGGCGAGGAGGTACCACCCTGGAGCAGCGTGCCGCCCCTACGAGCCAGGCAGAGTGACGTGCCGTGGCCGCTGGGTCAGGCTGAACATGAGAGGGGGCTCGCGGCCCAAGGGTTGTGCCTTACAGGAAATACAGGGTCTGGCTCAACAGCAACCTGGGCCCCTGCATGAAACTAGGTCGCAGCTCGCTCGACAACACATGCATATAAATGTTCTTTAATTCAGGCATTGAAGCTTCTGCCGGTCTGGCCTATGTATTCGGCTTTGCGATTGAGTTCATACATTCCGGACTTTGCTATGAGTGGGGAGGGGTTGTGAGGGGAGAGTGAGTGTTTGTAGGATTCATGTGTGGTAAAGGAAATACTCTACCGACTCCTTACCTGCAGCACCAGAAACATATTTAAAATACATTCAATTTTCCCCTCTGGGCATTGTCTCCTGACTTTTGCCACATATATCAAGGAAGGCAAGCGGCTCAACTGTTTCACTTTTTGAAATTTCATTTGATGTAGGTATGTCTTCTTGTTCTTTATTCTTTAAAGATTTTGTAATTATTTTGTATTTATATTACTTTTAGATTGATGGTGAAAGCAAATTCATTGAATGTCGGCTATCGGAATATATCTGACAAAGATGTCAACAACATGTCATAGAGCATTCTTACTATCGTAAGTATCGTCATAGTACAACAAAGTATGTGCCATTCAATAGCACCACTAGTTTATAGATATTTTCATGTTCATCATTACACAGGTGTACATTGCACAATGAAAGATGGATCTCTGGGTTGCTCACATCTTCTAACAATGGAAATAATACATTTATTTTCAACTATAACATGTATACAAATTTATTGAAAAATAACATAGTACTTTACAATATGAAGAACTCTTGTGCTTAAACCACATAAAAAGCTGCAGCTACATTGTCTCATTTTGCAGAAGAGGGAATATATTTAAAACATTTAAGTGCCTCCACCTACATGAAAATACAAACAATATAATGTTCAGGTGAGTGCCAAATTCAGCTTAAAGACTGTGAAGATTTTTACGAAATGTCTAAACAGAATGGATGGAATGTTGGATCAAATGATAAGCGGAGCATTATGAGCATGTAGCAAAAGTGTCTTTCTTCTTTTTGAGTGTAGCTGCAGTAACAGCAGTTGTCCTTCAGATCACTTCTGCAAATGAGTAAATCAATTATTATTCAAAGTAAACTAATCATTCTACACATCTTATCATATCTTCCCACAATTACTAAATGTTCTTTACTGAAATACTGAAAGTGTTGAGAAATTACTCTTACACACATACCTTCAGTCTTTAATTTTGGGAGTAGACCTTTGAGGTAGACTTCTAGATCAGCATCATTTGCAACAGTGTTGCCAGACAAATGTACTGAATTCAAGCTTTGACACATCACAAGATGTTTTAAGTTATCTTTGGTTGAAATGCGATTATTTTTTAATGATAGTGACAAAAGAGAAGTAAGCGAAGGCATCCCATTCAAGGATTCCAGCAAATTTTCATCCAGAATAAGTACCTGTAAGTGCAATAAGTGGTAAGAATATTTGGATTCTTTTGGTTGTCACCTAGCTGTATGGCATTTGGGTGGAAAAATACAAAAAAATATTCTAGGTTGGTTTGGCATTCATTTATCTTTGGAACATAAAAATACAAGGCACTTTAAAAATCTATTTTGCTTGCATAAAAGTTGTCTCTTCTTTGAGACACTTTTCCCCAAAACTAAACTACAACCTTTTAAAACCACAACTATAAAATGAACTAAGCAGAATAAAGCATTTATTGAAACCTGCATTTTCCATCCTGAAAGTCTAATAAATAATCTAATAATTAATAAATAAAAATTTTAGTTTCACATCTAAAGGTAGATTTAAATTGGTATTTGACATACTTGGCAACATTGTAGAGCATGAAGCTGAGGTAATGATCGGTCTGTCAATTGGTTACAACTCAGGTTTACTTGCTGCATTAGACTCAAGTAATGCAAATGATACAGTGCAGAAAGATTATATCCTGAAAGTTTCACTTCCACACAAGCTGGATGTGACAAGCCATCTTTCTCCTGGTTGTCCAAAAAGTATTCTATTTCATACCTGCTACCTAGAGCAACAAATTTTATTTCATGCATTATTTCAGAGCATTGAACCCTTGCAATCACTAATAATAGGAATGTCTGTGCTGAAACAAAAGAGAATAGAGTGATTTCAAAACATCTGTTTTCATCACAGTAAAACTATTATATCAGCCATAAGCATTCCCACCATTTAGTAATTCATTAGAAATAATAACACAATAAAAAAGAAAATAAATGTTGATAGAATCACAAAATTATTTTATTAAAAAATTTGCTATTATCTTATCTTCAAAAAATTGTAATTTCAATAATATTAGTATTATTTTGATCCAGGAATTTGCAAATGATTTTTATTGAAGGAAAAAAAGAGGGGGGGGGAATGCACCAATTTAAGTCATTGTGTTTGTATCCAAGATTAACATATTCTAATTATCTTCAATTCCCATAATTGGAATTAAACAACTTTGTGATTTTACCGAATGTAGGAAAAAAATAAATTAAAAAAGTAAATTTACAAGAAAAATGCTTGGTTTCCACTTTAAGGATACATGGTGTCAAGGGGTAATCATATTATTTTCAAGTCATTTTGCACTAGGGATTGCCAGCAGAACGTTAGTCCTCCCCCCGTATGATAACCAATTGATTGCCTAAATTTCAAAAGTTTAATTCATTGTAATGTGCCTATGAATTTTATATTGTTTGATATTCCTTTTTTGTATCTGCAATGGACTACTTATTTTGAGGGAGTTTGTTTTCACTTATTTTTGCCTATTAAGAACCCCATTGAAATAATAATTTTTTAATAATATTAAGTATTTACTCTACTATTACACTAGACAGGATAAAAAAACTTATTTATAATTTTTTAAACCAATAGTTAATGTACAACAAAATGTTGCCCATACACAACTTTGGGACCTTAGGGTATATCAATTCATCTTCAGCTGAGACGCCTGAAAACAGTATGAATGGAGACGAATATTGCATTTTTTAAAACATTTTTAAACTGCAGTGCTTTTGCACAATCTGCACCTCCATCTGGCTATGGTTTCTCCCTCTATATCATGGACTCTACATCACGATTTACTGAAGATTTCAGGTGCATTAATTGCCAAGTTCATTCGTCTCGTAAATGTAATGCATGTTTTATTAGTACGGGAGGTGGCGGTTATTTTACCCTGTTGTATGGCGAGATCTGACGCTGACCTACCTGTCGGCTTACCGGTTCTCTCACCCATCAGTGTTACTGCCTCATCCGGAACCAGCTCTTAGCTTCCAGCAAGTATGGTAGTGCAGTGCCAGTATGAGTGTATGCAACTGTAAGTGGTGCAAGTTTCGGGTAAGGATACGACAAGGATGAGGAAGGAATGATCACGTCAGAGGCATAGCAGTGACAAATTTATATTCTGTGCCACCTCTGTCAGTATCTGTACATCATCATAACCTACTACTTTAGGAAGGGGAGTGCTTAGGGGTCGACCAAAATGAGATTTTTTCAGTCTCAGGGTATCCATTTACTCATTGCATTCACTTCCCTTTGCACAGACTTCAGATTTCATTAGAGTCATGGCTAAGTAAGAATGAAATTATAGTTGTGACATATTCTCTTCATTTGCAATATTATATATTTTCCATGAGATGACTATTGCACAATTAATTTTCTTCTTTACTTCTTTTTCCTCAAGAAGATAATCTATATTTTCCTTATCTATCATTACATCAAAATTAGGAGTGTGCACAGCATCAATCATATTTGCAGAAATAAGAACAACATCTTCCTCTAGAAATACATTCAGCAGTTGATAGAGGCCTTTATTTTCTTTTATCATTCCCTAAATAATTACGCTTGAAGCATTGTTTATACAAGGATGCAACAATGCAGGATAAGACGCTATCTCAAAGATGAGAAAATTATATCAAGAATGGAAATATGAAGCAGTATTACATATCTATTCCTCCATGATTACATTCCAATTGCATTTGTTCTATCATGTTCAGACTATAGACCCCCACTAATTCCAACATTGCATAAACACATTATTGTAAATTATCAATTATAAGCTATATAAGGACTTATCTACATAATAAATATTCTGAAATGCTAAAAGAAGGGACAAGCCAGTTTGTCGACTAATATACAGTAAAAAAATGATTGTTTAATAATTTTAAAAAAATCGAATATCAGTAGCACAATCCTCAACATTATTACCAAGTTTCAAAATTCAACAAAGCCAAATTTACGCTTGGAAAATTTGAAAAACCTGATCAAATAGCATTGATCAAATAATAGTGCAGTAGTGATACAGAACAAATTTTTATCAAACCATTTTTCTAAAAAAAATATAAATATTAAATGAGGCATTTACGCAATGTTTAGACTTAATGGGTTAAACTATTCACACTTGTTCATAATTACTTTTATGTGTGTTACTGAAGATGAACAAAACCTTTTAATTTTGTTTTACTTGAGTAAATTTATCTGAGGATGGGAGTGCTTGTATTCCCAAAATCTATTTGTACTGAAGATAAAATTATAACGAAGATGTAGTAGAAGAAATAATTTATTCTTGATTGTCCTTAATATTAAGGGGGAAACTAGATTATTATTGTCACAATCATATATATTGAAGATACTTCCTGTAATTTATAAAATTCATTCTTTTGTATGCCAGCATTATAAATGACCTTCTATTGCACGATGTCAGTAATCAAATGGCAATTTATTGCACAAATTGTGTGATAGGAATTTATGGCATGAATAATCACTTCATCCTTATCTGACATTGCAAATTGTGGCATGCAACTAGTGGGGAGGTGGGGGTAAACTCCGCAACCAACCACCACACAAATACGCCCATGCATATTTGTTATTCATCACACTTATATCAAATGTGCATGATCTCTATATTGCCAACTACAACATATTACTTATGTTTATTTCCCATATTAACTTTGATTCTTTTATAAATTTATAATGATGTTACAAAATTCTAAATTTAAGATCAGGAGCAGAGCAATGTAGCATGAAGTTGAAGTATTTGGAAAGCTTTATTTACGTTATACAAAATCATGTACTTACGTAAGTCTTCATAGTATCCTGATCTTAAAGGATCAATCTTTTTTAGTTGTCCAATTTTTTGCATGGTGTCATCTTTGTAGAGATGTCTATCAATTGCTTGCATAAGAAGAACAATAGTCAGCAAAGTCCCTACACAAGGAAATAAAATAATGTGGACTAACTTGTTTAATGAAATTAATGCTAATATCTATGTGAAGACAACTATACAAATGAAAATGAAGACAATGGACAGTTAACATGTAATTAAATGATAACAGTAAGTTATAACCTAGTGGTGCTACCGAATGGCACAGACTTTCACATATTAGTTCTATTTCCTTTGGACTCGGCATACTATACGAACTTGCCACATATTCTTGTCATCTGCTATCTATTGCTGCTAAACGACATTTTTTAAAAAATATTCTTAATTTTTCACTTTTTTAATAGTAGAATGGAAACATTATTTTAAGAATATTAAAAATCAATAAAAGCTTGTTCTAAATGGCAATTTTCTTTGACAAAGTTGGAGCTGTTTAAGAAAATGGCATTTAAGTGCTATTGTAAATTCAAAATTTGAAGCTTTTATTTCACAGAAAATCTTTGAGTTTTCAAAAAACTTCATTTTAAGTAATTTGAAGCATTTTAACTTACATATACAATATTGTTTACAAATTGCTGGAAATGTGTATATTAACGGTGTGAGATATCTTTCAAATAAATTACATTTGTAAATTAAAATTTGAAATGAACTTTACATAATTTTGATGAACTTTCATCATTTCGATGAAGAGTAATATTAGCACTATCCTTTCAAAAAGCCTGAAGAAAAAATTTGGAACTATTTTTGAGAAAATGGCATTTGAAAATTTCAGAGAATGTAGAATTTTGAGCTAGTTTTCACAAAAATAATAGAATTTTCAAGAAACTTTACATGGCATTATTTAAAGCATATGTACTCATAAAAACAAAAAAAGTGAACAAATTACTGCTAATACAAATATTAATGATGTAAGAGAAAAGTCAAAAATGTAATTTTTGTACAAACAAAACAACAGAGCAATATGGCATTTATGTCATAATATAGAGTGCATTTAGCACTAACTCTAACAAAAGTTTAAAGAAAAAATTTGGAGTAGTTTTTGAGAAAATCTTTGTTTTTTATTTTTTTAAATGGCACTTATTGCTGGCAATATGGCACAAAAACTACTAAAAGTTTCAAAAAATGTACATGACTTTCATAAAAGAATGAATTATAGACAACAAATTTCATTTGATGAAAAAATCTCCAACTTTAATTTTGTAGTTGTAGGAAGACACCGAAAAAATTCATACTTCAAAATACTGTTCTTCCCAATGCACACAGTTATCCCAAAGGTGTTTCCACTTGTTGAAACAGTTTTGGTACACTTCTTTTCCAGTGTCCTTCAGCTCCTTTGTTGCATTTCCCCTAATCTCATTAATCATCTCAAATCTTCTTCCTTTCAAGGGTCTTTTGAGTTGGGGAAACAAGAAAGTCACA